ATGCCAGCGCCATCTATTGGTCAACATCTGCACCATCTACCTATCAACATCAGCGCCATCTACTGGCCAACATCAACACCATCTACCTGTCAACATCAGCGCCATCTACCGGTCAACTACAGCGCCATCTACTGGTCAACTACAGCGCCATCTACTGGTCAACTACAGCATACTCAACCTGTCAACATCTGCGCCATCTACCTATCAACATCAGCGCCATCTACTGGCCAACATCAACACCATCTACCTGTCAACATCAGCGCCATCTACCGGTCAACTACAGCGCCATCTACTGGTCAACTACAGCATACTCAACCTGTCAACATCAGCGCCCTCAACCTGTCAACATCAGCGCCATCTACTGGTCAACTACAGCGCCATCTACTGGTCAACTGCAGCATACTCAACCTGTCAACATCAGCGCCATCTACCGGTCAACATCAGCGCCATCTACTGGTCAACTACAGCGCCATCTACTGGTCAACTACAGCATACTCAACCTGTCAACATCAGCGCCATCTACCGGTCAACATCAGCGCTATCTACCGGTCAACCACAGCGTACTCTACACATTAACCCCAGCGCCATCTATCATTTTACTTTAGATCTGAGTAACCGTGACTCTCAGCGCAATCTATCGTTTGACTTCAAAGGCTAACCATTGACTCCAGCACCATCTAGTGGTTGTTTTTTACGCATCCTGTGTCGACCTTTACGTTATGTCTGCGTTAAATTTGGTGCAAAATGTTTGATGGCCCCACTGTGACCTCTCAGTTGACTATGGCGCCACCTGTGTGTAAGCGTTGTGTTGATTATAGTCTGACCTGACATCGACACGACTGCTATGTTGATTTATTTTCGTGCACATGAAAGATGGTTGTATTCTATTTTCTTGGAAATACTTTATTGTCCTTCTGGTAGATAGCAGCACTAAACTGTATTGCGAGTCATGCTCCGTCACAGAGTCCCGTTCTCACCTGTGATTTCGGACAGTCTTCTGTGTTATTTACCTTTTTATTGATAGACTCCGACTAGAGCCATTCATTAAAGATGAATATTTCTTTAAATTCCAGATGTGCTTACAATTCCATTCATACCAAATGTTTCCAGTACAAAACCGTGATGAATTGTATAACGTTTTATTCGTGGAATTCAAAGAATGAAGTTGTATCATCTGTCATTGCATATTCTCTACTGTTTGTCGCGATCAAAAGGAAAGTGACTTTTCTATCCCGTCTGACATCGATTAACGTTTAAGTGTAGTGTATCCATACAATTTTGCTGTCAAACCTGGACGATACGTTATTGTGGAAACGATCTGTTGTGCGGGGAATGAATTTATGCGGTTGTTTGTGTTTACAAACGCTACAGCAACATCGCACATCCCGTGATTACGATGTTCTTTAACTGATCTTTAGTAATTTGTTACAGTTTGATGTCACAGCATTATTTAAGAACAAAGTGGCACATACGTACGCGCACATTTTGCGTTCTACGACGTGGTTTTTTGATGTACACTTTTAGTTATCTATCTAATTGTATGTATCGTCGTTGGTGTTGTCATTTTTAAGTTATACACAAGACTTGAATTGCGGTTGGATCAGTAAGAATATCTTCAAATAAATGGACATTTCCATTATGAAATAACTATGAAACATTCTATATTATACTATGTATTATGTATAAAATGCAAATAACATGAAGCTTGAAAATTCGATGTTTTTGTTGATTTTGTATATATGCGTGAAATTTGACAAGATTGAAGAATGATATGAAAGACATGTTAGAATCGTTTGAAAAGAACATTAATTTCATTCATCGTTTTTGCTCACATTGTATTTTCAAATTAAGTAAAAATAAAAATGGTTATATGCAGATGTTTTAAAAGCAAAATGTCTTTGTAGACTGCATATTTTGCTGTAACAGCGAAAACGATGAATGATAGAAATTCATACATATAAGTTTCTATGTTTTTATAAGTTCTGTGTATGTATTAGCTCTTGTATGTGTGTATGTATTGTATGTATGCATGTATGTATGTATGTATGCATGCATGTATGTATGCATGCATGTATGCATGTGTGAATATATATATATTATAGATAGATTCGCCAATTTCTTTGGATAATTTCTTTCAAGCTCTAATAGTATTATTAGCCGTACGGTGGCGCTGTAAGACAAGATGTCAGCCCCCAGTTACCGTTATCATATACACGCGTATCCGTACTAAGCGACTGAAAGATATCTCGTAATCGTAGTGTTCATTCTTATTTCTCTCTGGTACGACGGTATATTGTTACGGCGATCTCTGGGCAGAGTTAGTATCTCTAATAAACGGTGAGTAAGATGAGAGATCCGGGTGTAGAATTTAGACTCTTGTCTTAGGCTAGCTCTAGTACTATAGCCCTCCGCTTAAACCGACCAGGCTCTCCGACTAGTTACACGGCGTCTCGCCACGTAGTGTTAAGCGAGATGGGAACTTGTGGCTACCCTCCGCTCCGCCGCTCCGTCCTGCGGCAACTGTACGCGGGCTATAGTTACTAGAGCTAGTCTTAGGCCGAATAGTCGCCGCGTTAGCCTCGGTTAGGACCATTTCTGGCTGGCACTAGTCATAGACATAGTTATACCAAAGCCTGGCAAAGATATATACAAACACATGAGTCTGATGGCCGGTGTGTGTGGGGTATGTGTGCGTGCGTGCGTGCGCGCGTGTGTGTGTGTGTACGTGCATACGCGCGCGTGCGTGCGTGCGTGCGTGTGTGTGTGTGTGTCAGTGTATGTACGTTTGTGCGAATGTGTGTGTGCGCGTGTGCACAGGCACTTGGGACAGAGTCAGTAAAAACTGAAAATAATATGAACGCACATTCACAAATAGGCCCTACTACCGTACCTCTCAGTCTCAATTACAGTTCCACTGTTGCGTCACTGTATATATCAACTTTCCTTCATAAAAACTAACGCCGAACTCTCCCGCACTCGCTGCTGCGAGTGTGCTGTGTCGCCATGATAATATATATATATATAAAGAAGGTAGGAAACTCCGTTTGCGCGATTTTCGACGATCACTCCTTGATTTGATCTTTTACATTTCACAAACTTTCAACGCCTCTACGACCTCCATCTTGGGCTCGTTCTGCCTTCTATAGTCCACTGAACAAAACTATGTAACTACCGTGGCCGATAAGTGCAGCAGTACTATGTAATCTGACTTGAAACACAGAAGTTTTGCGGTTCGTGCCGATTCATCAAGATTGTATACGAATCACGAATCCGATCGGCCCCGGTAGCCGAGGGCGACGTGGAGCGCGATTGGCTGCAGGCGGGACGCGTCATAAACAGCTGTTGTCACTGCAGCCAATCGCGCTCCGCATCGCCCTCGGGTACCGGGGCCGATCGGATTCGTGAATCGTCTACAATCTTGATGAAGATCAGTTTTTACTGACTCTGTCCCAAGTGCCTGTTCGTGTGTGTGTGTGTGTGTGTGGTGCACGTGTGTGTCTGTGTGTGCGCATTTTGCAGATTTGATCTCAATGACAATGGTAAAACAAGTGTATGTACGACACTTGAAGATGAACTAATTGAAACTGCTTCGTACTTTCTTATGATACGTCTTCATTCATCCTTATCTTATCAGTATACTCATTTCTAATAAGATACTTTACATATACTTATAGAGTCCTTATGTTGCGAATGGTGATGGCATTCAGAATAAATCGGACGTATTCGTTGACCTACTGCCACCAGCGGTACCTGCACGCACAGAAGAAGGTTGGCCAACTAAAAGTGAGTGTACAAGAAAATGATGAACCTGCAGTGGCTGCTTTAACAGTACCGTAGCTAGTGGGGTGGGGGGCCAGTTGCCTTTCCAGAGAACCGTAGACACTGTTGCGTGGACAATGGCGAATTGCCCACGGTCACTTGCCCAGAACACAACCCGCACGAGGCTTGGCCCCACCCCTCCCCGGCAAAATGGGTTAGCTTCTCCCATCATCTGACTTATGTTATAAGAGCGGTAGAGGAGGAGAGAAGGTGGAGGTGGTGAGGATGGAGAAGTTGGAGAGGTTAGAACATGTAGGGGAAAGTTTATGTAAACAATGTTTTTTATTGAACAACAATAATCACTATTTTCAGAATGAATCAAAGGCGAAAGAAGGCCCACCTGCAATAACGTGGGAGAAAATATGGAAGAGCTGGAACACAAGCGACAAATTACTATCTCTTTTATTGAAAAATGTCATCTATAATAAAGGTAAGGTAAAGTAATATAGAATGTACTGCTTGTAAAATTTACAATTGCATCGTGTTGTGAATCGCTGTGTTGTGAAGGGGTGAAACACCGCCTTCTGTAATGTATTTCGACATACTTGTAAAGTACATCGTCTGGATTGTATGGATATGTCAAATGTATAATATAATCAGTCTTCATATCGAATGCCTTCAGCTAAACGTTTTGTGTTGGATTGCAGATGGACTGGTTGGTATAAACAAACCCTATGGTCTACCAGTACACAGTAAGTGAATGCATATTACCACCAGACTAGAATATTATCAAGAGCGTATTAAGAAGGAGAGCGTACAACGGTGAAATGCTGAAACCATGCTGCAGTATTAGTCGAATTAATAAACTGCCCGTTTTATTTTGACGATTCTTTGTGGTATTATTGATCAGCTGTCCTGCCTTGCTAATATAAAACAAACCGCTTGTCGCTACGATGCCTGAGCTGAGATAATGAATGGTGAAAATCTGGTATTTTCGCCGAAAACCGACTCGAGATACGTAGTGGCTGCGACTGTCTCTCGTTCTGGCGATAGCTTCGGGAAACCTCGCGTGTTTCCGTCATTCATTGACAATGAAATTTATTTTCCTTCTACTATCTTTTCTCGCATTTCAAGTCATTGACGCAGCCATTACTCCACAAAAACGTCTTGTTATGTATCGCCATGGTGATGACCCACCCATTACGCTGGATGTAGTAACGCTGTAGTAATAACGTATCGAGTCAGCGCTACACAGCGGCGACCGGAAGCAACATACAGTCCACAAAACGAGAGACTGTCGCAGTAAAACTGATCTCGAGTCGGTTTTCGGCGAAAATACCAGATTTTCACCGCTCATTATCTCAGCGTAGGGGCATCGTAGGGACATGCGGTTTGTTTTATAGTAACAAGGTAGGACAGCTAATCAATAATACTGCAACATGGTTTTAGCATTTCACCGTTGTATGCTCTCCTTCTTTATACGCTCTTGATATTATCCTGAATAAATTCATAGATTATGTCTGTTAGATGGTGCCACCAATAGTAGTAGTGTAGTTTAGTCAGATACCAAACTCCACGACAGATGGCGCTCTCGCTCTGGCTCAATTCTACCACTGCCACAAGCTGATTTCCGTAAGAATTTCTTACGCTTTTTTACTATAAGTTTTACAGCGACCCCGTTACTCCTGTCCTATGTAATACGGTGTGTACTTATAAAAGCTGCAAAGATATTAAAAATCCAACCATTATTTTATGAGAAATTTGATAAAATAGTGATACGAAATAGTGCGCCCATTTACTACTTTCAAATCATTACGCTGTTTACTAAACTAAGTTCAAGTATTTATCATGAATTTTTGGGATGATTGCCAATATACCTAATTCTCGAACATTGTCTTTGATACATTTTTGCGTATTCAGCTCAAAACATCTAAATTTGTCCACCAACAAACATGCAAATCATAGAAATTTCTAATGTTTTGTTCGACGGCGACTTCGCGGCCGTTGGATTGCCATTTGCTGGATTTCCCCGGAGCTCCGCCCACTTTAAAAATAGTGCTAGCATTGTGGCAGTGGTATATCCTGACAAACTGCATGCAGCGCCTCCTTCCCACACTCAGGATAATACCACTGCCACAATGCTAGCACTATTTTTAAAGTGGGCGGAGCTCCGGGGAAATCCAGCAAATGGCAATCCAACGGCCGCGAAGTCGCCGTCGAACAAAACATTAGAAATTTCTATGATTTGCATGTTTGTTGGTGGACAAATTTAGATGTTTTAAGTTGAATACGCACCAAAGACAATGTTCGAGAATTAGGTATATTGGCAATCATCCCAAAAATTCATGATAAATACATGAACTTAGTTTAGTAAACAGCGTAATGATTTGAAAGTAGTAAATGGGCGCACTATTTCGTATCACTATTTTATCAAATTTCTCATAAAATAATGGTCGATTTTAATATCTTATGCAGCTTTTATTAGTCCAAATCATTATTACATAGGATACTACGAGTACACGTGCCTGCTGTAAAACTTGTATGTAAACAAAGCGTTACAAATGTAACCGAACACACTTGTGCTAGTGGTAGATTGAGGCCTATGAGCGAGAGCGCCATCTGTCGTGCGAGTTTGGCATTGGGCAGTTGTAATACGTCCCGTGAGTGTGGGAAGGGGTGATGTGGCATGCATTTTGTGGGCATTGAAGTGCACGAGGCAGCTTATATCACTAAGATATAAGGAGTGCTCTGGTTTGGTGCTGCTACTCGCTGCTGCTGCGCTGCTGCTAAGGTTACTGGCCACCCGCTGCTACTGCTGGTCTGCTACTATTCACTCGCTGCTGCGCGTGCTCCACGCTGCGACGTGCACACTGAATTATCTCCGCGCCTACTGAACTTCATAGTCGGCCAGCTCTGGCGAAGAGAGAACGCGAGGCGAGACGCGATCGCCGAGAAGGAGCAAGGATGAACACAGACGATCTCAGAGGGGTTAAAGAAGATAGGGGGAGAGGTAGAGAGAGGGGCGGGTGAATTAGAGAAGGGGGGAGATGCAAGAGGGGGAAGAGAGAAAAAGGGGCAATTAGAGGACCAATAGACCAGATACAGAGATGAAAAGAAAGAGCTGAGGGCAATGAAATTTGGAGCAAGAAAAAGGTATTCAGGAAACAGGCTGTGGAGGCGAGGGAGACGAAAGGGGACTTAAAGCGTGGGACTGGCGGAGTTAATCGTGGGGCGTTGCTTGCGAGGAGCCGAGAGGGAGAGGAAGAAGAGGAGAGAGAGAGAGGAGAGAGAAGAGAGGAGAGGGGGAGAGGAGAAGAAGGAGAGTGCAGAGAGATAGAGAGCCGAGCGGACGGAGCGAGAGAGCAAGAAAAGAGGAGAGAGAGACGGAGAGGAGAAGAAGAGGAGAAGAGAGAAGCAGAGGGGGAGAGAGAGGGGAAAAGCCCGGGGGAGAAGGAAGAGAGGAGAGAGCGGGATGAGGAAGAGAGACTGCGGAAAGAGAGAGAGAGAGGGAAGAGAGATGAGAGAGAGAGAGAGAGAGAGAGATAGGGAGAGCGAGAGAGAGAGGCAGAGGAGAGAGAGATGATGTAGAGCAAGAGAGGGGGGAAGCGAAAGGAGAGCAGAGAAGAGAGAGAGCAGAGGGGGCCGGGCGGGCGGGGAGTCGCGCGGAGGCGGGGTGAGGGGAGAGAGAGAGAGAAAGGAGGAGAGGGGGGGGAGCGCTGGGAGAGAGAGAGGAGAGATAAGGGAGAATTAGGGATGACGAGAGAGAGAGAGAGAGAGAGAGAGAGAGAAGAGAGAGAGACGCGAAGAGAGAGAGAAGAGAGAGAGAAGATGCGAGAGAGACGAGAGAGAGAGAGAGAGAGAGGCGAGAATGTGTGAGAGAGAGAGAGGAGAGAGAGCAGAGAGAGAGAGAGAGAGCGAGAGAGGAGAGGAGACAGAGAAAACAAAAGAGAAGAAGAGATAGCGAGATAGAGGATAGAGAGAGAAAGAGAGAAGGAGAGAGAGAAGAGGCGAGAGAGAAAAGAGACGAGAGAAAGAGAGAGAGAGAGAGAAGAGAGAGACAAAGAGAGAGAGAACAAAGAGAGAGAAGAGAAAGAGAAGATAGGGAAGCGAGAGAGAGCAGGAGAAGGGGAGAGCGCCCGTGTGGTGACGCGTACCTGAGAAGGTTTCTGTGGTTCGTGGGCAGCTATTGTCCATACCATCAGCGCCCCAAAACAACATCGCCCACACACATGGCTAACGCATTACCCGCCGACGTGGCGTTCGCGTGTGCTAAGTTAGAGCCACCGTGTGCGTAGGCTGGCGGCGTATACTTGCGCACAGCGCGCGCGCGGCACACTGCCCTGGCGAGCAACTGGTCGCTGTCAAACACTAATATCTTTCACGGTCATCGATGGTCGCGGGTCGTATATCTTCCCTGCTTTGTCGCGCAGCACGCTGCCTGCTGCTGCTCGGCTGTTGCTGCTGTGGCCGTGGCGGCGTGTGCCGACGCCGGTCGCCACGGCGGAAGGACGACAGGTTGAATTGCGCGCCCGACGGTAATAAGCAGAGCAACGGAAGTGTTGACTCACGCATTCCCGCAGCAAACGTAACCGGCGAGCGGATTTTATGTGTGCGGCTGACGTCATGCAGGCGATGGTGCGTGGCGTGCGTGCGTGCCGTAGCTGCGTGCGTGCCTGCGTGCGGTGCGTGCGTGCGGTGGTGCTGCGTGCGGACGTCGTGCGTGCGAGCAGTCCAGCTAGCGTGTGCCTTGTAGCAGGCCAACACTGTTTAATGTATAGTACATGAGGGAGAGAGAGAGAGAGATGAGAGAGAGAGAAGAGAGAGAGAGAGAGAGGAGCAGAGAGAGAAGAGGAGAGAAGAGAGAGAGAGACGGATGCAAAGGAGAGGAGAATGGCGCGAATAGAAGAAGAGGGCAAATCTAGAGAGAATAGACGAAAGCGTTAAGAAAAGAGGGCGGTGGAAGAGAGACCAGAGAGAGCGCGGAGCAGAAAAAAGATTATCCGAGTGGGCTGAGAAGAGGATTAAAGATAAAGTAAAAGAAAGATACTAGAAAAAAAAAGCCGAGGAGAGAAACGACAGGATGCACCGGACAGACCGCCGCAGGAGGGAAGAGGAGGGGAGAGAGGAGGGGGGAGAGAGGAGGGGAAGAGAGGGGGGAGGAGAGGGGGGCAGAAGAGGAGGGGAGAAGAGGGAGGGGAGAGAGGAGGGGGACAGAGGAGGGGAAGAGAGGATGGGGAGAGAGGAGGGGGGAGAGAAGGAGGCAGGAGGAGAGGAGGTGAGAGAGGAGGGGCGGAAGGAGGGGGAGAAGTAGGAGGGGGAGAGAGGCAGGGGGAGAGGAGGAGGGGGGTGGGGGAGAGACGGAAGGGGAGAGAGGACGGTGGGAAGAGAGGAGCGGGGAGGAGAGGTGAGGGAAGAGAGGGGGAATCGAGAGCGGGCGAGAGAGTCGAGGAGAGAGAGGAAGGGGAGAGAGGGCAGGGGGAGAAGGAGGGGAAAGAGGAGTACGGAGAGAAGAGGCGAGGGAGAGAGAGACGGAAGGGAGAAGGCAGGGGGAAGAGAGGAGGCGGAGGAGAGAGGAGTGGGAGAGAGAGTGGAGAAAGGAGCGGAGAGAGGAGGGGGAGAGAGGAGGTAGGAAGAGGAAGAGAGATGGGGAGAGAGGATTGGGAGAGAGGAGTGGGAGGAGGAGGGAGAGAGAGAGGGAAGGAGAGAGGAGGGGGAAGAGAGGAGGGGAGAGAGGAAGTGGAGACAGAGAGGGAGAGAGGAGGGGGAGAGAGAGGAAGAGACGGGGAGGGGAAGAAAGGGAACGGAAGAGAGGCGGAGGGATAGGATGGAGGAGGGAGAAGAGGATGGGTAGCATCTCTCTCACCAACAACAACGT